GTAGGTTTAACTGGGTTCTGGCAATCTAAACTAATCTAATAATCTAATCTAATCTCTCAGCTACGCTATCCTAATGCAACTTGTCATATATATATTCCAGTTAGATTGACACATGCATGTGCATGCAAAAATCGTTTGGAAGTTTAATCAAAATACCTCAAATATAATGCCAAATCAAATTAATATAGATGAACAGAATTGCTTATGAATGGCTGTGCCCACCTCAAACTAGAGTTTGTTTAATATAATATTACAATATATTATGTTAATACATTAAGCTTTCTTTAAGTTGAATATAAATGTGCTTTTAGGATTTTCTTGTGCGCCATTTCATATGGGTAATACGAGTTCGGCTTTGGTTTGGAAATCAAAGGCGGCGCCTTTAAGTATAATTTCTCAGGCATATAAATAAATCACGTCTGTTGGAAGATAAAAAGCTTTATTGGCTTCATTTAGGCAGCGGTAACAAGCAGTAGCAGCAGCAGCTTAATGAGAGATGGCGTTGCGTATACGCCGCATAGGCTGTGACCGTGGCACGCCCATTGTGGGCGCTGCGCATGGGGCGCATAATAAATTTTCATTTTAATGACTTAACGCATAAAAACAAGAGCAACAACAACAGCAACAACAACAAGAAAACATTGCTCAGGTTTACAGGTGTTGTTGTTTTTATTACCATTTTGAGTTCGTTCTTTGTTTGCTGTGTGTACGAGTGTGTGTGTGTGTGTGTGTATATATTGTTGTTGTTGTTGTTGTTGTTTTTGCTGTCGTACATATTTCTTTACTTCATTTGTTACGCATTTTGCCAGCCACACAGCGCACACCTACACCCTCCCCCATCATTATGCGCCCAAGAGGCTACCCGTAAATGTGTTGGCAAAACATTTTTATGATGACGTGCTAAAGGGATTTCAGTGCGAACCTCCCGCCACACTCTTCCCCCCACCCCGTCCCCACCGCCCCCTTTCGCTTACGTCTTTGCCGCTTTGCAGCAAAAAGTTAATTAGAAATTATGCTCGAGCTGCTATAATACAGCACACACACACACACACGTGTATACAACACCTTTGGGTTATTAGACAGATATACTCGAATACACTCGCACACACACCTCCACACACACACACACACACACACACACCTCCACACCTCCACACACACACACACACACACACCCACACCCACACACAGACACCCACACTCGCGCACAAAAAACAGACACCTGCTGCATTAAGTTAAGGCTAATTAATGCCACTTTTGATGCGTGCATTTCAAGGAAACTGTGTGACACGCTCGAAAGTGAATGCGCGGGTGTCGCTAGCCTTAATTAGATTTCGGAGACTTAAGATTTGTTTGGACAATGCGCAAATCATGTGAAATATAACTAGGGCACATTTAATAAAAGAGTGCTCCACTCGTCAGCATGACTAGCAGCAGCTGCTTCTTTGCACTAATCTGTCGCTCCTTGGAATATTTTATTACTAAGTCACGTTTGCGACTCTTTTGCTTTTGGTTTTGTAATTTTCTGGGGGATCTACATAAGCATAGCCAATAGATAAATCAAATGTGAGCTTTATATCGAATTCTGTATATCTTACGTTAATAAAGCCTGAAATATGCTTAAAGACTGCTACTGAATTTATTTATTTATGCAATTCGAGCAATCGGGGCGAGTAATTGATAAGCTATATAGGTCTAAAAACGTCGTTAGATAAATGAACGCACGGACGAACCCATTTATTGGCTGCGTGCATTAAAAGAATCCTTTAAAAGCCAAGATTTACTATATTAATACTGAAAAATTTGTTAATCCTATTTTATTTTTAACCGATGTTGCCTTTAATCATGGTCCTTAATTATTGCAAATGAACTATTCTTTGAATAGAGTTCATATAGAGCATAGTTATAAAGAATGCGATGTTGGCTTCCAACTGATTCGATATATAGTTTGTTGACATAAGCTCACCAAGCAATTGAACCGATATGTATCGATGTATATCGAAAATTTCGTATAGTTTTTTTCATAGTTATAATTAATAGTATGTTGGCTTCCAACAAATACGATATATATTCATTTTACATATAAACTATATATCGAAAATATGTTATCTATTGTATTACCTATTCGTATAGTTTGAATAATGTGTTTTCGACTTCGAACTGATTCGATATATATTTAGTTTATAGTCATAAACTCACCAAGCATGTCATCCGATATATATCGATGTACATGAAAAATATGTCGACTATCGTAGTACTTGTTCGTATAGTTTCCTTCAGCTTGCCGATTCAGGTGAAAATGACTTATGAAAGAAGCCAAATTAATTGAATATTTTCTATTCTACTTTTGAGACATGCTGCCGAGCACGTAAAACAGAAATACATGTGTGGTAGAAAAGCTCTCGGCTGAAGTAATGGGAATTACATTTGGCGCACGGCGGAAGTTCTTAATTTGGCAATGCGTACAAACAGATGTTTATCTGTGTGTTGTCTCTCCCCTTACAGCTCTCCCCTTACAGCTCCCTTCTCTCTAACTCGCACCTGTTTCCAACTATCAGAGAAGTTTGTCAAGTGAAATTTATGCGAGTAGCGTCAGTAATTGAAGCGGAAATCCACAAGTAGCAGCAGCAGAAGCAGCAGCAGCATCCGCATCCGCATCTGAAGCAGAAGAAGAAGAAACTAATAATTTACTTTATTTGCACCTTTGAAGAGTGCTCGTCCTTGTGAGAGCTCATGTCCTCGTAGTGGTTGAACTTTTACACAGACACGTATGCCATCAGCAAAATGGAAAAAGTTTCGGTTTTTCTATCTACTTTTTTTTTCTCGCTCTTGTTGCCATCTCACTCGCTCGCATGCTACAATCTGCCCGCCCCCTCCACCCATCCATCCCATCAAGCCAGCTCATCAGGGCGCGCAAATTAAGAAAATTATCATGCATCGTACCTAGGCGACAGAAATGTTACCCCAACTCTGGTTAGGGGCGTAAAACTTTGCCAAGCAGAATCCAATTAAACATAAAAATAAAATAAATTGTGACATTTTCCAATTAGCGGCGAAAATAGTAGTAGTCGAAGCAGCAACAAAAAAGATGGGCACGCTGACAACATGTGTCTTATACGCCATGCCTAACCGTATCCACATACCGAATATTCCCATACCGAGTCCTTATGCCCTTCACGCATTCTCATTTTCAAGACAAATGCTGGCACCGAGATGTCTATCGCTCGCTGGCGCTGACTGAGGCCGACAAGAAGCCTAATTAATGGCGTCAGTCACAGAACAACAAGAACAGCATGTAAACATGTCCTTGCGGGTAAGTGCTAGACTGGCAAATACCCTGTAAAAAGTCCAGCCCACAGTTGCTGTCCAGAAGTATTCCTTGTTGCGAATGTTACGTTGAAGTGTTAACCTATAGATCACTTATCGATTAGCCATATCGCTTTCTTATCGCCTATTAATCTTCCTTACTTCGTGATAGGCGAGTATTTTGCGGAATGACAAATATCCTGTAAACAGGTCTAGATTCCGCCACAGTTGCAGTCAAGAAGTAAGAGTAATTTTATAGATCTATCGTTATTGTCTCGACATCGCTTTCTTATCGCTTAATTATCTCCCAGCTTCCAAAGTGACGCCTTGACTAAAGTGAAGGCTTATCCAGTATATAGAAAAATTATGAGAGATTATTATTGAATAATAAGAAACATAAGAGTTATGAATATTATATTTTTAAGTATTATATAATGAGAAATATAGGAGATAAGTTTTGTCTGAGATAATGAAACAATTTCTCCTGCTAAAAATTGGCAAAGAGAACAGCTTTCGCCAGATAGGAACCCTATAGAAAAGGAAGATACATAATAATAACTCTTTATTTTACTCTTTATTTACATACATACATCATTGTTTTCTTTTATCGCCTAGGAAGATAAGAAGGAATGAAATTAACCATTCAAACATGTCTCGTATTAAAATCAATAACTGAACCTTTCGCGCGTCTGTTAAAGCCTGCTGCTGATATACCTTCTCGCATTTTTTACGAGTACAGGGTATACGAGCAATGGGCAACAGCTGAGCACAATGCGATCATTTTTCGGCTGCAAATTACAAATGAGCTCCATTGTAGGACAGACACTCGAATGTGAAAATAATTGCCAAAAATAACACAGCATTTATTTATGCTCGACTACGCTTGGTGCGTCCCGCCTCCCGCCGCCCGCGCCCCGCCGCCCTCCTGTACTTCCCCTGCTCCGCCTGGTATGCTGGTCTAATTGTGGTCCTTTTTGGCTGTGGCAGTTTTTATGATTTTGCCCCCAAACGGTTTCCATGGACGGTTTTCTAAATGCGCACAAACAAAAACACATAAAAATGTTGAGCAATTTCTGCGCTTTGCTGCGGCCCTTTTGCTTCGTTTGCTTCGCTTTGTTTCGCCTTCTTTTCGCTTTCTTGCAATTTGCAACTAATTGCTACAAATTAATTTTAGTATGCTTTTAATGGCATTTTGAATGTGGTAAATGACGTCGACGGAGTTGACAATGATGCTCTTTGTGTTTCAATTGCTGCCAAACGGCAAAGGCTAGCTGCCAAGCTCAATGCAATTATTGGCCAGCGACTGCAAGATACTCTGTTCGCCAATCAGGAAACTAAGTGCTTGGAAATTGTGAAAGAGCAAAGAGTTGTCCAATTGCTTAAAGAAAGTATGGGTCGAGGCTCCAGATTCAAACCTGCGTGCTTCAATTTCAGGGTTCAAACCTTCATCTAGTAAATATTGCCATTAAAAATGGGCTTTATTATGTCATAACATTCATTCTGGCTTGTATAATTCTTAGCAGACAGACCCCAGAACATTGCACCCTATATGCCCCGTTTCAGCGTTTAAGCAACAGGGTATCGAAAGCAAAGGGCTTTTGTGGTTTTACTCTTTGGCTTGTCGTTTGGCGTTGCTTAAATTTAATGAGCTGCGGCAATCGTTAGAGTATTGCAAGCGCCCTGCCTTAAAAAATATAAAAAATATATAAAATAATAAAAAAATGAAAAAAAGGACGTCAAACTTCACATCAAGCCTAACAATGGTGCGCATTTAGCCAGTGTCGCCTTAAAAATATAAAGAAAACTTTACAATATAGCAGAAAATATTCCGAGCACATAGCTTCATGCAAAGGAGCGAAGTGCGAGAGAGAAGCAGCAGAAGTGCGTGTTCATTAGACAACCATTGTGTGGATGATGCGTATACCCTGTGAATTGGGTATCTCTCTTTGTGTGTGTGTGTGTGCGACTTCCGGAGTCGCTGACATTGGGTACGTTAATCAAATCGGCGTGTCAGCAACATAACTAATTTATGTATTTACGAGTGCAGACTGCCTGATTATATTCATACGCCCTGTGTGCCGAGTGCAACATTTGCCAGCATCAAATGCGGCTCCTTGTTGACTTTCATTAGCTTCAATTACGCCGAGTCGAGCACTCGTATGTCCGGCGCATAGCTCAGACGACAAATCAAATGCAGTTCCAGTTGCAGTTCCACTTGCCACTTGCACCAATTGTTGTCACACGTAAACTTTTCAAATCGTTTGCCAGCCCATAACTGCCCACTCCCTCACCCCCCAGACCCCTCCGTGCTGCCCACATGTCATTTGAAGCCCAGTCGTTGTCGTTGTCGTTGTCGTTGCTGTCGCTGCAGCCGCCTGTGTTTGGTTTACGTGCTTAAATTGGCAATTAGCAGATTAATTGTCACTGGCAATATATGCGTCAATATATATTGTGCAACCGATGCACCACAGTGGGTGAAATTATTAGCTGGCAATACAGTACAAAGCTCTTGAATATAAAACTGATTTTTACAATAACTTTGAAAGTTTGTTATTGAAAGAGTGTTTTTTTTATTAATATCATTAATTTTATGTTATGCAAAGCTTTTAAGCTCATTTCCAGCAATTCGCTGGCCAATTTCATAAGTTAGAAGAACTATTGAAAGAGGTGGAAAAATCCTGTAGTAGGAATCCTAAAAGCTGATAGAGAAGAAACGGCTGATACACTGACTTCCATAGAGTACTTCGTTTGTTGCAGAACGAATTTTGCGAAGATGCAATTAAAAAAAATAAATAAAATCAGTATCTGAAATATCGTGAGATGAAGACTTGCTTGGGCAGAATGAATATTACATAAGCATTTGAACGACAAGCAGATATTTAACGTGAAATCTAAACCGAGTAGCAAGCCTTTAGAAAATTGTCTCAAAAGTGTTTAAGATCAAATTGACCTTAAAAATACGACAATCATATTCATAGTTTTAGGCCGTGAATCGGGTTCAGCACAGCCCGAAACCCAGGTTTAAGTTTCTTTGACTTGACAAAAATAATAGAACTTCGGCTTAAGGTTCGGTTCATAGAAGGTGATATTGTTGCCAGCCCAAAATAGTTCGGATAAAAACGTGTTGTCAGCCTTTAATTTTAATTATATTATATTTACATTATATTTATAATTATATAATAATTTTATAAGTATATTAGACAATCCCCTTATAACAAATACCCGTTGTATGCATCTACAAATTGATCCTCATTTTCAGGCACAACAGCTGCTGAACCAGTTCTTTCCAACATGTGCCCACTGTACCACAGCTGTGACGCATGTTCTGGCCAACGTGTATGCTCCGCTCGATCCGTCCGTCCACCTGTCTGTGCGTCTGTCCATCCGTCAGACAGCTTGTCATTCAGTTAGTCTGTCAGAGCGGCTTGTACACGTAGTTTGCTTTACGGTCCTGTTGTTTACATAATTGTTGCACTGCTGCTGCTGTTTGATTTCACTAACGAGCATTAGCATATATTGCAGTGGTCGCTTTTCTGGGGTCTCGGTGTAGATGAGGGCCTGCTTGTTGCCAGCTGACCGCCGGATGCATCATTTGACAGGCCATTTGCTGGACAATGTCAGAATTTTGCGATATTCCTGTGAAAATTGTGCAGTCAATCAGTTGTAAATTTTTAATGAGTTTTCATTCATATTAACTGACATCGAGCGATGCCCGGCGTTGGTTTTGTGGCGCCTGCGGCTTGGCGCAATAGTCTTAGTAATTTGTCACGCTAATTGATGTGGGCGTGGCTGCATGCATTGCATCACAAATATCACGCATACGCGTCGTATGGCAGCCGGGGCTGTGCAATGCCTGGCTATAACATATCCATTCTGTGCTGTGCTCTAAAATGCAACTTGTTGTGCTTTCTTCTTGTTCTGCTCTCATGCACTTTCTTATATCCTTAACCCCGGACATTTTTCTTGCGGCAGTAACTTAACACAAAATATTTCCTCAGCACATCGACGCTGACGTTGACAGCGATAATGCTAGTGCAGCTGTATTTTATATTTTATATATACACACATACCCTATATTCTGTACAGATATGTGGGTGGGTATTTATACATTTGATCTCAACTATGTGAGAGGCATTTTAGTTGAAATTTATCTGATCCTGGCATATACTTATAAATATATATTTATATTATTATGTTTGTTGTTAACATCTTCCTTATACACATCCTCTTCAGCTTTGCAGCTTTGGACTGCGGCAGGCATCGCATTAATACACATATCTCTTTCTTTTATGGTTTTATAGGGTATATGTCCAGTCGAGTACTTGCGAGCTCCTCACTCTTATTTGCTTTGCATACCCTTGCAGTGGCTATTATAATATTCACACGATATTTGCAACGTATTAAAAAGATATCTTTAAATGCATCAAGAGATTTACTTCGCTTGTACGTCCATTATTTCAAAGAATTGCTTTGACTTAAATTAATATTAAATAATGCCTGATGCTGTATGCACGCAAGGGTATTTCGTCGTCGGCTAACCGCAGACAACAATTTTTAGTTGTTTGCTTAGGGTTTTGATACTCTTGTAGCTGCCGCTCCTGCTGCTGCTGCTGTCTTGGGAGCTGCAGTTACTCGTCCATTTCACTTGACTTCACTGCCACGTTAGCGTCGTCAGCAGAGACGTTGACGTCAACGTCGACGTCGACGTCAACGTTGTGGTCTTGTTGCAGCGCAACTTATCATTTTATAAGCATTTTGTGTTTGTTTTTGTTTGCCTGTCTGTTTTTTCAATGTGCAGCAGCTGAAGAAAAACAAAATATTTTGTTGCAGTTTACTCAGCTACCCTCACCCCCTCTCAACCCCTTAGGCGGCACCACGCCCCGTACAGGCTTGTGGCCACAGGCAAGAGTCTGTGTGTATTTTATGTGACAGATACTTTAAAATGTGGCAAAGTGGTTTTTGGCAAGTCGTGCGCCGGCTCTTAGCGAATGCGTCGGTGGCATCGAAATATGTGGGTGTGTGCGTGTGTGTGTGTGTGAGTGCGTGTGTGTCGCAACTCTGGCTGGCTGGATGGTAGGGGAGAGGGTTGCCTGGTGGTGCACCGCTTGGGTCATTTGAAATGAAATTAATGTAAAATTATGTGCCACGTAAACTAATTTTTATGCGACGGCAAAGGGTCGGCGTCTGCGTCTACGATTTACGAGCGTGCACCACACTTGGCCGCAATCCTTTCAAAGCATTCGCAAGCGCGTTTTATTGCGCTGCTGCTGCCACTTAGAAAGGCAAAAAACAATTGAGAAAAAGAAAATCAAAATAAGCGTGATGAGTCAAAAATGCCAAACCACTAGCTACCCTCTATAATTTATTATATCCAAAAAGTCAATTTTCTAAAACCCCGTATGCAAAGAATGCTGACTTAAGCTCTTATGAACTCAAAATCGATATTTATTTGCATTTAGTAAATGGGAAGAAAGATGATTTAAATCGATGGGAGAAGTTCTCAAGCATAAAAGATAAACATGCTCTGAAAATTCAGAGAATCGATACTTATCGATATCAAGAAAATAGTGAAAGCTGTCGAAGAACTCAATATAAACTACTACTTCTATGACATGCGAGATAACTCAACGTTTCAGTCTCCAGCCCAATATTTTAGACACAGACTTGATAAACCGAGCTTAGAGATTCTTTGAGCCATATGCCCGTATGCCCCCTTTTAGCCAATTAGTACAGGGTATTCAAAAAAAAAGTAGCCGCAGTACGCGCATTAAAATGTTGCCAGGCGCTTGCCCAGTTGTTGTTCAAGTTGAAATTTATATTAGGCCAACAAAGTCGCCAGGACGAGAATGAGAACGAGGAGGAGGATGAGGACAACGCAGCCGCTGGCGATGGCGCCTGCTCTCAAGTGCTCATAAATTCACGAAAATTTCACAGCCGACGGACCCGACAAAATATAAAAAACGTGAACCCTTCAACAGCACTAGAGAGGGTTGGGCTCGGTTTCTGGTGGTGATGGAGGGAGAGGTCGAGCGGGGATCCAACCGAGGGGCAGCAGCTGGCGTCAGCTGTTGCAGGGCCCAGCTCGCCGGGCACACACTCGACTTTGGTTTGGCAACAAAAATTTTTAAAGAATTGCCACTTTACAGTCGTAAGGACCACATAAGCCGGACAAATAAAAACCTCGTTCGCATTCTGGGTTTCCATCCAAGGTACTTTTTTCCACCCTTTTTTCAGAGAGAACTTACCTTGCCTCGACCAGCACTTGACTAGTCCATTGCCTGATATCATCTTTATTTTTCCAGGCCACACACAGAACAGAGCTTGGCTCTTTTTACACTCAAAGCCTGGCCAAACAGTTGTAAAAACCCAATCCGGAAGAAGACGAGCATAAAACTTGGCCGCCTCATTCGTAGTGTCACTCGCATCCGGTTTATAATAATGTCATACGCAAGGAGTCCTTTAATAAGGACATTCAATTGACAGCGGCTGCTGTTGGCGGCAATTGGGTAAGCATAAATAACCACTTAATAGAATCATATAGAGATAACCAGAAGCAGGCACACAAAAGGCAACTGGGCAATTGCTATCTATCAAATTTCAATGAAACCAATAGAGAAAAAAACAAGTCCTTTTAGGCTGGCCATGCTTAAATACCCTTTTAAAAATTTGGGAAATGTAAAGAACATAAAGTTAGCCTGATTCTTAGCCCTGTCTCTTCTAATTCTCAAGTAGTTATAGCTACGGACTAAGGAAAATCTCACAGATCGAACAGAAAGTTGACTTCAAGAATAGAAAATCTTATTTTACCTAGCCTTGAACTTGATATTTTAGTACTATTTTAATTGAAAAGAGTCTAAGCTTTGGAACTGCCGTCTATTAAGGCAGTAATTGTGCCTTTCACTTATGAACAGAAATGTTTTCCGGATTCAAAGCTCTCATTTGTCTAGTTTTGACTCAAATTTCCACCAAGTTAAATGATTCTCAGTTTGCATAACTCTATTTAAGAACAAGGAAAAAATAAGCTTATATAAACGTAGACATTTGTGAACCACAAAAATATTATATTCCAATCTAATTATTGGACTTAATAGTTACCATTAAAAGTATACAACAGTATCTGGTTTCAACAGAATAACTTAACTGACGGACTGTGGGGTACAGTCTGCACCCAGCTATGATGACCATATAATCTCAGAGTCACTCACAGTCACACATATCGCGATGAAATTGGAATACCCTCGGCAAGCATTTGCGGAACACGAACAGAAGTCGCTGCTCTTTGTCATTATATCCGGAGTAGGAGCTCACATTTCTCTTCATCGTATCGGGCCGGCATTGCAGCATGCATTGAAAGACTCTGCAATTTTCGGGTATCTTGTTACGGCGACCGCCGACCGCCGACACCGCAACCTGACATGTGTGGACAGTGGCCTTCCATTATCTGTGCCTCGGAGTCCTTGTGCCCTGGCGTCCTGTTCGTGCTGTTCGGGTGCATGTGAAGTGGCGTGATTTATAAGCGCTTTGCCGGCGATAATAAACACAGGGTGCGAGTGCGACGA